TCTGAACCACGCGAAAAACTGGCTGTGACCTCGAAGTTACAATCAACCCCGTCGTGATGTCGTCCTTCCCGGCGAGCCGTCGCCGCCGCCGCGAACCGGAAGACGAGAGCGACTCTGCGTCTGATGCCTCCGATGCACCCAAACGCCCCCGCCTTAGCCGGCGTGCTGACGATTCCGACGATGACGATGGAGATGTGAAGAGAAGACCCAGAACGAACGGCGTCAACGGTGTCAAGGTCCAGCATGACTTGGATGGATTTCAGGCTGGCGCTATTCGCCGCGTTACAGTCAAGAACTTCGTGACGTACGAGATGGCAGAGTTTTTCCCTGGCCCGAATCTCAACATGGTTATTGGACCGAACGGAACGGGAAAGAGCTCGCTCGTCTGCGCCATCTGCTTGGGTCTGGGATTCAGTCCAAAACATCTTGGCAGAGCTGGCAACGTCAAGGAGTTTGTCAAGCACGGAAAGCCGTCGGCCACCATAGAGATCGAGCTACAAGGTCGACCGGAGGATAGACGAAACCCTGTTATCAAAGTTCAGATCGATCGCGAGAGGAACAGCCAGAAGTGGTGGCTGAATGGCAAAGAAGCCACACATAAGACCATCCAGCATCTTATGAGGGACCTTAAGATCCAGGTCGACAACCTCTGCCAGTTTCTCCCTCAGGATCGCGTTGTCGAATTCGCATCTGCCACCCCCGTTGACTTGCTACACGAGACTCTGCGCGCGGCGGCGCCAGAGGAAATGCTCGACTGGCAGAAACAACTGCAGGAGCTGCACAAAGAACACAAAGAAATCCAGCGCGGCTCGGCAAATTACGCTGAGCACCTCAAAAGTCTCGAGGACAGACAGCATGATATGCAAAACGATGTTGACAAGCTCCGCGAGCAGCAGGAGGCCCAACAGCGCATCGCCGACCTGAAAGACGCACGGCATGTTGCCGACTACCTTGAGGCAAGGTCACTTTACCAAACGAAGAAGGCCGAGGAAAAGGAGGCGAAGAGGAATTTGAGAAGGTTGGAAGACGAGGCAGCTCCGTCTCTGCAAGCTGTGAATCAGAAGCAGGTTTACCTCGAGAAGGTCTCCGCAGCCGTTCATTCCCGCAAGGGTCTGGTACGGCGTGCAGAAGCTGAGGCAGACACATTGCTCAATCGGGTCGAGGACGCCGATGAGCAAATAAGATCAATTACCGCCAATCTGGAGACCAACAAGCGTGGATATGATGCCAAGAGGCAGGAACTGGGCAAGATTCGCAACAGGATTGGTGTACTGGAAAACCAGCAGAAGAACAAGCCCGCGGAGTTCAACCCTCAAGAACACAACACCCAAATTGTACGTTCAATCCTGGTCCTGAATCATGATCCTGGAGACTGAAGCTAACTTGAACGTAGCGAGAAAAAGAGCATCAGCTTCGCGAAATGGAGGCCGAGACGCGTCAAATCGACGGAAAACTGAGAGATATCAAAGAACAGGGCCAAGCAAAGAGCCACATCAGAAACAAGCTCAAACAAGATCTCGAGAATCTCGATTCCCAGCAGGGGCAGCTTCTCAACTTTCTGCAGAAGAAGTTCCCCGACGTTGCCAAGGGCTGGGCCTGGCTGCAAGAGAACGGCGATCAGTTTGAAAAAGAAGTCTTTGGACCACCTGCTTTGTGCTGCTCCGTCAAAGATGAGCGGTATTCGGACCAGGTCCAGGCACTGCTGCACATGGACGACTTCCTTTGTTTCACCGCGCAAACCAGAGAGGACCACAAGAAGCTGAGTGATGTCTTCTACAAGCAACTCAGTCTCTCCGTCAACACGCGCTCCATCTTGAAGCCCCTGGATGATTTCAAACCTAGGATGTCACGGGAACAGGTCAGATCTTTCGGTTTCGATGGTTTCGCAATCGAGATGCTGTCGGGTCCGGAGCCAGTTCTTGCGATGCTTTGTAATGAAAAGAAGTTGGACGTATCTGGCATTGCAGCGGGGGAAATCAGCGATGCTCAGTACGAGCGCCTGGTTCAAGATGCTGTTATCAACAGTTGGTCAGCTGGCCGGCATCTATACAGAGTGTCTCGGCGCAGGGATCTTGGCCCCCAGGCGGTCTCCACAATGACCCGAGGCATCTCCAAAGGCGTGTTCTGGACGGATCAACCTATTGATGAGGCTGAGAAGAATGACATCCTGCGCCGCCTGAGGGAAGTCGAGGCGGAGTTCGGGGAGCTGAAGACGCAGAACACGGAACTCAAGGAACAGCTTACCGCGATAAACGGGAGGAAGAAGGAGACACAGGAAGCTCTCGTAAGTCTGATGAAGGAGATCTGCGGAGCAAAAGTTAACAAGGCGCCAGAAATTACTCAGAGATCGAAAGAACGAACTGCAGAAAGCACACAACGCCTACCAAGCTATTCCCATCAAGCTTGGTAAGAAGCCTACATGGTACTAAGTAGTTTCCACCACTGACGCATATTTGCAGAGTCTGAAAAGAAGTCACTGGAACAGAAGAGGGCAGAGGTCGAAGAGGCGAGATCAGCCAGTTCCAAGCTGGATGTCGACAGAGACAACGCTACAGTGGAAAAGCTCAAAGCTGTCCTCCGCCATCATGCGGCAATCGCCGCGATTCGGGATGCCCAGGAGGAAGTGCTTGAGGCTCAGATTCGTGAGATCGAGGCCAAGTCTGATCTTACGGGTCTCAAGGCTAGGAACACCGACCTGATGCAGCAACTTGAAGATGAGAAGCGACATATCGGTGCCATCGCGGAAGAATCTGCGCGATGCAGAGCCCGCGCTGAAGCAGCCAGAAGCAAAGTGGCTGACTTATTCCATGACGACCCAAGCAGGAGAGAGCTCCTTGAAGAGCTGGCCAAGGAAAAAACTGTCGAGGACGTCGACAACGAGATCGCCGCTGAAGAAGGCAAACTCGAGCTCATACATGTCACCAACCCCGGCGCCCTGCGCGAATTTGAGAAGCGCGCTCGAGAAATTGAGAAGCTGCGCCAGAGAATGGAGAGCTCGACGAACAAGCTGGATGAGCTGAACCGCAGGATATCGCGGATCCGCGACAAGTGGGAGCCAAAGCTTGACGAACTTATCAGCAAGATCAACGACGCGTTCAGCTACAACTTTGAGCAAATCAACTGCGCCGGCGAGGTTCGGGTTCATAAAGATGAGGACTTTGATCAGTGGGCCTTGGATATCATGGTCAAGTTCAGGTATGTTTTAACCCGCGTTGAAATATAACGGAGCAGCTGACAGCAAGCAGAGAAAACGAGACGCTCCAACAGCTCAACCAGCATCGTCAATCCGGAGGAGAGCGTGCCGTGTCTACTATTTTCTACCTCATGGCCCTCCAGTCTATGGCGCAGTCTCCGTTCCGTGTTGTGGATGAGATCAACCAGGGTATGGACCCTCGCAACGAGCGCATGGTACACGAGCGCATGGTCGAGATTGCGTGTCGCGAGCACACATCACAATACTTCCTCATCACACCCAAGCTTCTCACAGGATTGCGCTACGACCCACGTATGCGTGTTCTCTGCATCGCAAGCGGAACGCATATGCCTGAGGACGGTAAAAAGCTGGACTTTGGCCGCTGCTTGCAGATCCACAAGCAGGTGACAGCCAGCGCCTAATCTCGGCGGAGCTCGGCTCTGTGGAGATGCATCGAATTATAGTCATTTGGCCGGAGTTTTTGGGCGTTGGTGAGGGCAAGTGTCAAGAGGTCACGATACCCTGGGTTGCGTCCGGTAGGTTTTAGACGGCACGGGAAGAGCAGAGGGTTCAAGCTCGTTCATGATGCTGGGGCTTGGTGGTGATCTTTGCATCACTCATGCTGGTGTATCATTCCATCTTTTAGAGCGACAGTGCTGCATGTAGAGGAAAAATGCTAAATGGAGAAGCCTTCAGGGTTTACATGAAGACATCTAGGAGTTTTCCCGCCTTTGTCACGTCTACACATCCACCTGGGCGGCGATTCGCTTCGGAGCGTTTTTGACAACAGGGATAACCCAAGCAGCATATCGGCGAAGCATGCTTGGCTCTCCCGTCGAGATCGATACCTATGTTCTACAACTCATTTGCCGGGGGGTTTCAAGAGTCCACAGGCTAGCGAAGGCGCTAGACACGAGGGCATTGCGCAAGACGTCGCTTCGTGGACATGGATGATTCGATGCCGGAAGAAACTCGCTTGTCTTGAGGCGAGCGGCGAGTGGGGACGGTCATGGTCTTCTCGGCCGACGTCTACGATGACACAAATGCCGGGACAAGGAGTGTATTCCAAAGGTCCCGGCCATTCAGCCCGGACCGTGGCACTCTTCTTCTTACATCGCCTCCTCATCTCGTCCGCCTCGCCGTTTGGCCCTCTCGAGTGCCCGGGCCAACCCCGTACCTCAGCTTCTCCATCCCATGACGCCCAATCCCCTCACCATCTCCTCACGAGACCCCAAAGTCTAAAGCCCAACTACCTGCTTTCGTCACAGATTCTCCGCCAAAACCCAGATCGTGTCGGTGATCCGGACTTCCAGAGTGTGGGACGCCTTTCTAGTGAGACGGCCTCGAGGTCACTCGAGAAATATCTCCTGTCAGTCGAAATTCGTCGCCAATTTGCCTGCTCGGAATCCTATAGCAAATCTGACGCTGTGGGGCTGGTTTGAACATCGGCCAGTCGAGAACCAAAGTCCCGGAACGGCTCATGTTGCCTGATGTAGAATAAATGAGCTGACGTGAGAAGTGTATTCTTGACAAGACGGCCGTGCTATTGGACAATCTGTTATGGCGGAAAAGGCTGTGACATCCCATCTCTAACTGACCTGCCCGCACCCCGATTCCGTCCATCTGCTACAAATCCCTGAATCAGTTTCTATTACGCTACTTCCTTCCATCCTTCTACAAACCCCAACAGCTCTTACTTCCTGCCTCGATTATTTCTTTCATCCAACATCAACTCAGTGATACCCCCTCATCAAAAACCAGTTCATAATCAACCACCATTACGTTCAGTTGAACCACCACCGTCGCCATGGAAGCCCTCCGCTCAAAGATCCAGGCCCAGATCCCGGAAAACATCAAGCAGCTCCCCTCGACCTTCAAGCCAAAGCCGCCCACGCACCTCGAGAACGGCGCAGAGTCCATCCCCGCCTTGCTCGCGCCCACCGTCGTCTCCCCGACGCTGCCCACGCCCAGCATCGGCCACGAGGGCGCCGTCTTCACAATCGCCTACGCGACCCCGATCGCCAAACCGCCCCTGGCCGTCCTCGCCACCTTCATCGACCCGTCCACCTACCCCTCCTGGAACCCCATGTTCCCCAAGGTCACCGTCACCAAGCCCGCCACCGGGCCCGTCCCGCCGCTGCTCGCCGAGTCCACCGTCGCCAAGCACAACCCGGCCGACCTCATGCTGCAGGGCGCCCAGGTCGCGTTCGAGGTGCACCTGACGCTGGACCCGGCGCGCGTGACGTCCAACTCGCCGTGCATCATCACCAAGATCGAGGACTTCCACAAGGTGACGACCTCGTCGGCCGGCGAGGAGCACAAGGGCCGCAAGGGGTACCGCGTGGTGTGGAAGACGACGGGGTACACGCCGCCGACGTTCCTGTTCAAGGCGGAGCGCGTGCACGAGTTCCTCGAGAGCGAGGACGGCACCGGCACCGAGTACCGCCAGTACGAGACCTTCTTCGGCCCGCTGGCGCACGTCGTCAAGCTCACCATGGTTGGGCAGCTCGAGTCCGCTTTCGCCGCGTGGATGGACGGGCTGAAGCGGTTCGTCGAGGCTGGGGGGAACGTGGCGGCCGCCAACAACACCGATGGCGCGACTGATGCTGCGGCTGCCCCCGCTTCTGCTGCCGCCGCCGCTGCTACCGCTGCCTCGTGAAGCGTGATGATACCTGATCTTTGGGAGACAAATGTTGTGATTGACTTTGCTTTGGGAATTTTGATGGCTCGCACATATGAAAATGGGGTGGACAAAAATTACACCTGTTGGAGAGGAGAGTGGAGAATCGGATCTGAAGGTGCGTGTTTCTATGTATGCTAGTAGCTTGATACCTGTCCATAACCGGCAACAAGGAGTTCTTTTGACATATATGAACAAGGGGTTACAGGTGTGTTGTGAGCCACTTTCCTATTTATGCCCTCACGGAGGCCGGCATTTTCGCATTGAGAGCAATCCGTCTCCATGACCTACACCTCCACGATGCACTGGTTGGTCCCCATCTACAACGATGCAACAGCCTCGGGCTTGAAGTAAACCGACATGACACCGCCGACGGTGAGGTTCTCCTTGACGAAAGACTTGAGGGCGCCGTGGGCGGCGCACTCGTCGTCGTAGTACTTCATGTCCTCGAGCGAGGCGAACTCGGTCTTGGCGACGATGGTGAAGCCCTGGGCGCGGGGGTCGTCGACGGCGGGGCCGACGACCATGGAGAGGATGTACGGCTTGCCGTCCTGGGTGTTATTTGTTAGCATCGTGAGTCAGGTTCTAATTGCCTCCTTCGTCTGCTTTGGTCCCCATTTCTCGTATTTTGCTTGAATTCTAATAGTGCCGTTGCCCAATATCTTGCGCCGAGAGAGAGAGGTTGTGTGAGAAAGGCCAATGGAAGGACGTCAGGATGCAAGTCAAGCTACCTTCTTCTGGGAGTCTCCGAGCTTCTTGTACTGCTCAATCAACTGCTTCTTCTGCCCCTCGTCGGCAATCTTGAACATGGTCACGCGATGAACCCGGTCCGCCATTTTGATCGTTCTTCCGTCAAGCTGTCTGAGTGTAGAAAAGTTCTTCGGACTCCTCAAGGGCGTTACTGTCCGGCGAAAGGCAGGCGGTACGAAAGAAGATGTCTTTTGTGTTTTGAAGGGACCTGTCTCTGTCCTGGTCGTCGTTGTCGTCGAGAAGTGGTGGTAGCCGAAGCCGGAAGCGGAGGTTCGTAGCGGGGTTCCGTTGATGTTCCGAAGCCGATGGATACAGGTTTGGCGGAACGTGAAGGCCGGGGAGACGGGGGGCATGGCTTTCCTTTTAAAAAAGAGTCTAATGAGACAGAAAGAGGCGGCGGGAAAGGTCTCTAGCGGGGAGGAGGGGAGTGTGCAGCAGAAAGAGGCTCTCGGATCATCCCCAATTGCTACTGCGTGAGGTACGGGCGGCAGGGGGGCGTGGCGGCGGCCGGCTCACACAGCAAAGAGGATGGATGGATGGATGGATGCGTGCGGGTTTGTCGGTTGAAGAAGGCGCGGCGGCGCGCTGGGACGGAGTCGGGTGGAGGAGGTGCAGTGAGTGTGCATTGAGGGTGGCCCATGCAGAAGCTAAGCTCTCCAAGCTACCTATGTACCTATCGTGGGACCTTGCTTATGTTTGGGGACGGGGTACCTCTGCTCCACCTGGGCCTGTTGCTTCGCAGGATAGGATATCTTCGCCGGCGGTTTACATAACTGAAAGCCAAGTTCTCTTCAGATTCCTATTCATGTGAAATAGGTACTGTGTGTTTGTATCAGCAGAAGACCCTCATCCCATGGGTGTGTTGAAGCTTCAGATGCGGATGCCCGGACCGCCCCACGAAGCTTCAACCCACAGGCCGACACTTACATACTGCGATACACCTACCTAAGGTCCCTACCTCAGCATGCCTTGGCGCTAAGATTGGACTGGTTATCGGCGGTGCATTCCTGTCGACTTCAGATCGTCCCATCAGCAGTGCCGAGGGCTGCATTTCCTTCTCACCTACGCTCTCCACTCCCTATCAGACAGCCCCCATCACCCGTATCTTCCTGCCCGTCCCCAGGTTTCCCCGTGTAGGTAGAGCGGAACCATTGACAGTCAATCAGTACGCTCAAAATATCCCATCCATCCCACGGTGCACTCAGGAGCTTCAACGCATCTTGTAGGTCCACATGTCTCAACAAGAAAAACCACCATCGGGGCTTACATCGGCCCTGTCCCCCGCACCCAAGCCCCGCGAACGTCCGCGGTGGTGGGGCCGGTGGCTTCTTCGTTGCAATCTGCAATCTGCACCCGCACCCGCACTTGTGCTGCAAGGTGCAGCAGCAGTCCCCCTCACCCCTCCCCTCCTTCAAAGCCAAGACTCAGGAAGAAGGAACCCCCTTCCCGCCAACCAATCACGAATTTCTCCGTCTCGTCTCACGCTCTTTCTCGTCGACCTCCTTCCTTCCCTCCTGCGCCAGAGGACTTCACCTCATCCACTTACACTGACTTACAGCCGACTTACACGAACCTCACCTGATGCGCTTGTATGTAATGGATTGTCTTGGTTTGTGGACTGGACTGGACAAACATCCTTTGCCAAGCAGGCACACCCGTGACGAGACGGGAAAATTTCCAACACCTCACAAAATGCAAACAAGCCTTCCCAGAGTGAGGCTTGCAACCCGCCAGAGGGACACTGCGGCGCACCCGACGACCCCTGAACAGCCTCGGCCAAGCCTGGAGACTTACACATCGTCCCTGGAACGGGGGACGCATAGACTTCCGTGTGTAGTATCATCCGCATCTTGTAAGTGCGGGCATTTCTTATTAGGCCGTGGTATTATTCCGTCTCATCATCTAGGCCGTTGATGCCCATATGCTCATAGGGAACGCTCAAATACGTCCTCCCTGAATGCATTCCTGGGAGAACATCATCTCTCATCTACGCCAGCTACCTACCCTAAGCCTATAGACGTGGCCAGATTGAACCGACTCGTCAATGCCAAGGTTCCTGGCCAAGCTCTCGCGTGTAGCATCCAGTTGCTACAAGTCACCCCTGTTTGGCGGCCAAGCCTGGTATCTTTCGTCCTTCCCACCAACGGTCACCGCATGACATGAAAAAGGTGCAACCGTATCAGTATCCGGAAGCACTCCCAAGTTCCCGAGCCCAGTCCTGCTGCGGCCCCCCTTGAAATCCCCCAAAACGCCATATCCGTCTTTGCATGGACCGCCAGCTCTTGGTGGTCCATGTGATCAATCCCGCCATTACCCCCCTTTCTCTACATCATCCTTGACCAGCCATTATAGTACGGGCGACGCTGGAGACAGTCCCCCCATCCGACGGACGACCACCTGCATCTTCTCAATCAGCTCCGGCATCCGATAGGGCTTGACGAGCACGTCGTCACACCCCGCGCTCTTGGCTTGTTGCATCTGCTCCGGTCTGGCGTTGGCGCTGACGGCGATGATGGGAATTCGGCCGCCACTGGCGCAGAACACCTGCCCTTCGCCTTCCAGCTCTCGAATACGTCTTGTGCATGTCAAGCCGTCCTGGATTGGCATCTCTATGTCCATCAGGATCATGTTGATAGGCACAGGGGGGGCTTGGATGCTCGAGACGCTGCGGCTAAAGTACTCCTGTTCCTCCTGATGCTGCAGCGACGTGGACTGCATGAGCCTTTCCAAAGCTTCGACGCCGTGATTGGCCACATCAACCTGGAAGCCTCGGTCGCAGAGGCCTCTCCTGGTGATCTGCTGATTGATTAGGTTGTCCTCCACAACCAGAATGCCATCGAGGCGAGGATCGTGGATGTTTGGCTTTGGTCGTGAGCCAGGTGTCCTCTGGTCGTTTGCGTTGGATTTGGTCCTCGGTGCCGAGAGTGGAGTGCTGGTTGCAGTGGCCGCTGTTGTCATTCTTACAGCCGCGGCCGCAGACTCGGCCTCTCTCCTCGATGCTTCCGACGGGACGTATGCCTCGATGAAGAAGGCAAATGTCGATCCAACACCTGGCAAGCTTGATACGCCGATCGCGCCCCTTTGCAGCTCCGTCAGGCGCCTTGATATGAACAAGCCAAGGCCAGAACCGCCGTATTTCACATGTGTACGCGAGCTTGCCTGCACAAACCTGTTGAAGAGGTTCGCCTTCTCATCTTCCGAGAGACCCTGGCCGGTATCCTTGACCTCAAACATGAGATACACCGGGTCCCTGCGGTCGTCAAGCGCGGGCTGTTCATATTCCGATTCCTCTTTGCATGACCGCGGGATGAAAGTGACCGCAGAATCTTCGTCCGTGGGCCGTGTTCGGGAGGCTTTGATGCTGACCGATACATTCCGAATGGAGCCTGACTTGGTAAACTTGAGGGCGTTGGTGAGTAGATTTATGAGGACCTGCTTGACGCGAGACGGGTCGAGGTCGAGAAAGTCGTAGCCGAGCTCTCGGTAAGACCTATCAACCTTCATATTGAGGTCGATATCCACGCGACGTGCTTCCACATCAAACATCTTAATAGCTTCCTCCCCAATTTGTACGGGGTCGACCGTGCAGGGCGTGACGGCCAGCAGCTTCGAGTCCAGCTTCGACATAGTCAGAATGTCGTCCACAATCCGCTTCTGGTGCTGAGCACAAGCAACAATCGTCTCGGCGTTTTCAATGCTGTCGGAAAGCAACTGCTTCACGTCAAAGTGCCTGTCTCCGTTCTCCTCCGTTGATGGCTTGTATTTTGTCACGGGGGTACGTGGGCGTTCAACAAGCTCTTCGCATCTCGCGAGGGAAGCAATAATGGCGTCAGAACAGTGTACAATGGCACTGAGAGGGTTGCGCATTTCGTGAGATGTCATGTCGATGAAGTTGTCCTGCTGCCGCTTCGAGTCGATGGCTTCTTCGGTACGTTGTGTTTCCAGCTCAAGCTGCCATTTTTGCAGAGAAACATCGCTGATGCAGCCAGTAAACGATTGGACGATGCCATCCGAGTTGCTGACTGGCATGAAGGTGGCATTGACCCATCGCGGTGCCGTGATCTGGTTTCCTCCGGCATCGTCAGCTGTCCAAGTGGTTTTCAATCGGATTTCAGCGGTCTGCGGCTTCTTCACGGATATGAGGCGGTTTAAGCTCTCGGTCAGGATTGGGAGGTCCTCCTGGACCACAGACACTTGCCACGGCCTTACTTCGCGTTGCATTGGATCAACCTTCTCGATGCCACACAGCTCGAAGAAAGCATTGTTTGCACCAATCAAACGTCCTGCGGTATCCATGTCAAACATTCCCACTGTTGCCAGCTCAGCCATTCTTTTCAGGTTCTCTGCCTGCTGAGTCCTCCTGGTTGCTTCGTCAGCCGTTCTCTTGTGTGCTGTGACATCCGTCAGGCAGGTGAAAGTTCGAATAATGGTACCATCCATGGAGCGTTCCGCCTTTGCTTGGGCCATGACATACCGCTCCATTTCGTCATCGAGGTCGCTGCACAAATCGGCCTTGAATGGTGAGCGGCGCGAGAGGAGTCCATTGGTGTGCTCAGTTCCTCGTACGCGGAACTCAAACTCAACCTCATCTTTTGTCCTCAGCTCTTTGTACGCCTCGCGTATCTTTTCTCGATCTCCTTCAAGGACATAAGAGAATGCGCCCCCATCCTCAGCCTGGCTGTCGGGGTAGCCTGTGATGCGATACCAAAGGCCATTGGCGAATGTGATGTTCCCTTGGTGGTCTCCAATAGAGAACCCATTGGGGATGAAGTCAGATACGGTTTGGAACAGTCTTGTATACTCAATGGCCTCCTTTGTTTGATAAGCAAGCTTTTCTTTCAGCATGGCCTGGTCATAGGCGGCCTGCTCAGCCGCATTTCGTCCCCTTCGCCTTTCTTCCTCCAACAAGACGGTGCATGCTAATGATGTGGTCAGCTTTTGGGCGAGAAGCTGGATATACAGTGTGTAGGCATCGTCGTATGGTCGTCGAGGATTCAGCCCAAGCACGAGCAGGCCCATGCCTTCTTCCTCCTTCGTTGGTCGGATAGGTAAGACGATGGCTGCTTCGCACGGGTCACCAAAACCACGCCACTGCAAGCCCGTCAGCAGCTCCTTCGGTAAGCTGCCGTCGGAGGTGCTGATGATCAGTGGTCCCTGACTGCGCAACGCTGCACGGTACTGCGGGGCCAGACCCGCGTCTGTCTCCTTTAGACGCAAATACTCAGGCATGATCGGGTGGTGGGCTGGAACGCCGAGAGCCCCTTCCAAACGGCAGATGTAGTCGAAGTTGTGTCGCGACTCGCTGCCAGATTCCGACGAACCCTCGCGCTCAATCGAATACAGCATAGCGAGCGGGATGTCGTACGCCGGGTCGCATTCTGAAAGCTCTTCGATGAGCTTGCTCCAGTACGACTTGACGTCCTTGGCGGTCACCAGTTCCTCGCCCATGTCGACCAGCATCTGGATTCGCCTGCGGAAAAGGTGGTACATTGTTGTATCGGATATCAGATGGATGAAGCCGAGGCATTCACTGTTGTGGATGACAGGAACGAGGGACCATTTCAGATAGGTTTCCAGAGGTGGGCCGTCTCGTTGTTCGACGAAGAAGCAGAACTCCTCCTCGCTGCTTGCCCGGCGACTCTGTCCTGGATTCTCCATCATGCCTCTCAACTGATCCGTGATTTCTGGGAAAACTTCAGTCACAGGGCGACCAAGCAGATTGGGGTGCCGCGAGCCGATCATCTCTCCGTACGCCTCATTGTAGACGGTGGTAAACTTGGGTCCCCAGTAGATGGCCGTGGGCTGGGAGTTGCACAAAATCTGGCTGTAAGACTGATGCAGCATGGATGGCCATCGGTCCATGGGCCCTAATGGAGTTGCGCTCCAGTTGACGCTGTCAACCATGTCGAGGAATGGCTCCTGATCCGGCATGAAGTCGGGCAAAACCAACGGAGGCTCGGTAGTTGCTCGAACGATACGAGGATGCGGGAGATCCTCTTCAGATGAGTCTGGTGAAGACATGGACGGAACAGTAGAGGTGTGCGGGTGCAGGATCCCGCTGCTGGATTCTCGTCCTCGCGATCCGTCTAGGCGTATCTTCCTAGGCGGCTCTGTCATGGGCGGGAAGTCGTTGGAGCTCACCACGACCCATTTGGATTGTACAACACTGCGAGTCCAGAAGTGGTTGTTATACAAGAAGGATTGCGGTGGGTTTACGTCCTGTGCGGTGATCCAGTCCCAAAATCTCGTGTGGTCGAGGCTCGATATGGACTGTAAGACCTCGAGAAGGGCGGGCTTGCCTGTCAGAGCTGGGTTGTTGTAGACCACCTCGGCGCGAGAGGGGTCCTTGAACGAAGCAGCAAGGGCAACAACGAAGCTCGGTCGGGGGTCGGACTCGAGCAGGTCAACGACGCCCACACCGAGGAGCGGGGGAGGATGCATGGCGGCGGGCAGGATGTGAGTCGTCCGCTCAGCCAAGGGATCGGCAAGTGTTGTTGTCAGTATCTGCGTTTTCTCTCATTCTCAACCAATGGGCGTCTTTGGATCAGGTCCTGGACTCAGACCAATAACACTCTTGGGTGTGTTTCTTGTGCTTCTTTGCTTGGCTCCCAAGTCGGTGTCGGTCCCGCCGGTGAAGGTAAGTAAAGTTCGAGTTGGCAGGCGCGATGTGCGAGCAGGGCGAGTCACGGCCTGGGGGGATTTTGTTTCTCGATGCAAGAGAGGAGATGCGGGAGACGCGCAAGGCAGGTGGACGAGAGAAAAAGCGCCAGAAGCGAGCCGGGGTGGTGTGCGCAAAGTGGCGCAAAGTGGATGAGGCAGACGAGGGTGCCAATGTGGTCGGTCCGGAAGCTGCGATTCTGCTTTACCGGGTGGAGACGGGCGTGCACCGCGGCACACCCAGCCTGTTGTTTCCTGGCCGGGGGTTGACGTTGACTTCAAAGCCGGTAAATGTAGGGCGGGTCAGGACTAAGTAAAGTACTGAGCAGACTGCAGGATCCCCGGCCAACCTTGTCGGATCAACTGGGCACGCGGGATGTTCGCCGTGAGATGCGCTGTTGACTTTTGGAGGTTGTGGTTGTTGTGGTTGTGGAAATCTGCAGTGCTGGATGTGGATATCGGACCTTGGCCGACGTCGCCTTGGGTTGCGACAGAGTGAATCCGGAGAAGGATGGTAAGGAGTAAACAAGAAGAATGCGTGAAGGGAACTTTTTTCTTTCCTTCTGTCTGGGAAGGCTTGCGTGTGGAATGATGGAAATAACCAAGGATGCAAGCGTCCCGTCTCGTATGTGGGAGAAAAGACGAGATGACAACCAGGCGGGAGCGGGAGAGGTAAGACGTGGGAGACGGTCGAGGAGCGGACAGGCCAGGACGGAGGAGGACGACCGTTCTCGGGGTCGGTTTGGGGGCTGAAGGAACGGCGTTGCAATGTGGCTTGTTACGCAGATGGCGGTCTTGTCCAAAATAAATTTCGACCTTTTGGTTGGTGATCTTTGTTTTTTCTGGTCTTTTTCGAGACGACGGCGACCGTGACTCTGACTCCCCGTGTCGATCCCTTTGCTTTGTCGTCCAAGAGCGGCCAGGGCAGACCTTATTTCTGGTGGCACCGTACCGTACCTACGAATACGCACTTGTGCGGTGGTCACCTCCGTTGGATGTCGGGGGTCGGGGAGATTGGAAGCTCAAGGTGACAATGGAGGTGATAAAAAAAGCAGAGAGATGGCCGTAGCTTACGGAGTCTGGTCCTAGGGCAGGTGGAAGCCGGGGTTGTTGGGTGGGCATGGGACTGGGGTGGAAGAGACTGAGGTGGGCGGGCTGGGCGGGAAGCAGACCGCAGCGATCACCGGTGACGACAACGGGAAGTGACAGACAGGAACAGACTGAACGGGAGGCATGTCTCTGGTATCGTGACTGACCAGACGGAGCTTTAGCTAAGGCAATCAACCTAGGTAGGTAGCTACAAAAGAGGACGCAAAGCCTCGGGAAACGCACTGGAAACGTCTCTAGTCGATCAAGACTTGACTTGAATAAGCGAGGGGCTGCGGTGGCAGTAGGTGGTTTTGAACGGCCTATTGCTGTAGTGCTTCCGTCGCTTTCCCCTTTTCGATGGCGCGTCTCAGCCCTCGTCGACGGCAGCAGCGTCTCTCTCTCCCTCTGCCTCTGCTAAGGTAATGCTAAGGGCCAATGGCAGGGACGGCGGTGACGGCAGCGTGATAGGCAGGCAAAGAGGTGAGAGA